GTAACCTCAGGAAAACTCTGTCTTCTCCCCAATTCTTAGTTTGTGCACTTGTTAAATGGATAATAAGAGCCTGAAGCCAAGAGGGCCACTGTGAGAATTAAAGAGATAAAGTATCTTACATGAGTATGGCACATAGTGAGTGCGCTGTGATTCTTTTAAAGCTAATATTAATCCTAGAAAATAATCTATTTTTTGAGATGTAAATACTTCTTAGTATAGAATTATAAGTAGTATTTGTATAATAAAATTTATGTCTATATCATCTTTATTATTCTTAATTTTGGACATGTGTACTTTATCTCTTTTTTCGTTAGATGAGCTATGGGAGTGTCTATTTTAGAGATTTTTCAAGGAATCACATCTTGGAATAATTTGTCAATTTAACTTGTGTGTGTGTGTGTTCAAAGTCACCAATATCTGCCTTTATCCTTATGGACGCCTGCCTTCTGGTTTCCTTATTCTGTGGACCTGTTCATATGTCCTTTCTGTTATTCTTCTTTAATAATGAAAGCATTTCATAATATGAATTTGCCTCTAGTTGCAATTTTGACTGCATGTGATAAGTGTTAATATGTAGCCTTTTCAAAATTTTAAAATATTTGTAATTATGCTTTAAATTTCTTATGATTAATGCTTTTCATTTCTTCTTGTTCTTAGAAGAAATGATTATCTGAATAAAATGTGCAAAAATGAAGCTTGCTTTTTAAATTATTTTCTACTTTATTTGGGTTTTATTGTTGCTTATACTTTCTTATTAAATTATGATCTTATTTTATTGTGGTTAGAGAATGTGGACACACAAATTTCTACTTTGAGAATTTATGGATGTCTTCTTTGTGCCTTCTTTTATCAATTTTTTGAATGACTCGTGGACCTTTAAAAGTAAGGTGACATCTTGTTTATAGGGTACAGATTTTGATGTAAAGGCATTTCATTTTACAAACTTTTCAGTTTATTCTTTTGGATTTTCTTAGTAAATAATTAGGTAACCTATAAAACAATCATAATTTAAACCTCACTCCAAGGATTTATAACATTTATCTATTTTTTTTGCCTTTGTTATATTGATTAGAGCTTTTTGAACAGTATAAACTAATATTGAAGAAGTAGGCATTTTTCTTTATTTCTCATTTTCTGTTAAATATGATGCTGTTTGTCTTTAATTCGAGGTATTTTTCTCATTGTCTTTTTCCCACTTGATGACTTTGGCCTGAGAGGTTTATGGAAACTGTGCTTCTATTTCCCTATCTTTGGATGCTATTTTATTCCTAATGTAAATGTTCATGAGTGTCATTGCTGTGGATGGTACCTTCTGTCTCTGAGAGGTGTTTTTCATCAACCTGTATAATGACTTTGCTCTTGGGTACTTGAAATTCAGAAGCACTTCTCCTTCATTTTCATTTGTTTTCCTGAGTTAGGTAACCCTGCTCTCTCAGATAATTGTTTCTGGAAGCCTGTATTCAAGGCAAAGTGGTGTTTGAAAGTTGAACCAGAGACTTGCGCGTTCCAAAGAATTCTGCTCCTTGAGAGTTCAACATTCTGTACCTTTCCAGACAATTTCTAGCATTCCACGGATGTTCTTTAATTTTATTTTTTCCAAACACATAGTTGACTGCCTTAAATGCAATTATGGAGGCTAAGGACTGGCCATATTGGGTTCGCCTAAGGACTTCCATGTTTGTCTTAGTTTCTTAATTACATGTAAGATCTGTACTCTTACCACTGGTATCAGTGATTTTCTTTTTCCATTTTCCACTTATTTTTATAAAACAATAAGAGCAAAATGTAATTAAATACTGGTTTTCAAGTGCAGCCAAGCCTTTTATTCAGACCAAATATTACCCAGAAGCCCAATGAGTAAAATAGATCAGATCAAAGCTGCCCTGTTTGGAGCTGGGTGGAGACCTTGAGCTGCGGGCACCATCCTGACAGTGGTGGGGGCCCCAAGTACCCCTAAAATACCATTTGAAAACCTCCACAATGAATCATTTAAGGAATTGCACAAATAAATTAAGCAAATTCCTGTATATGCACAATTGAGGATGCTGTTGATAGGAAGTTGACTACTGGCCGTCAGCTGCTGTATGAATTCCGTGGTTTTTTCAGATGCCGTATGATTGTGTGGGCTGCCTGAGAGTCAAATGCATGAAAATGGATGCCCATCCCTTGGGTTTGATTATTTTTAATTTGTTGAATGTGTGCTTCAAATAGACAACATAGAGTTGGCTTTGAGGATTTTTGACTTGAGTTGGAAACTCCTTTTAAGGGCGTATAACTCACATTTGTTTTCTGGATTTTCTTGTTTTAACTTCAGTTAATTGCAGTTAAGGCTTGTTTTCTTTTTTCACACTTAAACGTTCTTTCCCGCTGTCTTATATATACTACGTTTCTCTTGGGCTTCCCTGGTCATTCAGTTGTAAGGAATCCACCTGCAGTGCAGGAGAGGCAGGTTCAATCCCTGGGTCGGGAAGACCCCCTGGAGGAGGGCACAGCAACCCACTCCAGCATCTTTCCTGGAAAATCCCATGGACCGAGGAGCCTGGAGAGCTACAGTCGATGGGGTCACAAAGAGTCGGACATGACTTAGTGAGTCAACAACAACAACGTTTTTCTTAAAATTGTTTTTTGATGATTCAAAAAGTACACAATCAGTTTCTAAGTCTGTTAGTGCTTACACCTTAGTTTTTTTTTTTTTTAAACAGCTTTCATCTAAGTTTCTCTATGGTAAAAATGAAATAGTTTTTTTTTAAGTTAAATGATTTCATACTCCCTCTGCCCTCCGTGTAATTATTAAGTCAGGGATGTATCTGTTTCTTCCCCTTCCTCTTGTGTATCCCCTCCCAAATGCTAAGAGATGAGTGGGTTTTTTCACCATCTCCTCTGCTTATGTTCCCCACCTGCTTGCCCTAATCTTTGGGAGGAACATGGTGCTTTCTGTGGTCCACCAGCCCATCCTGCAGTAGCTGAAACTCTGTCCTGTTTCTGGACTAGAAATCCTCATCCTCAGAGCAGCTCCGTCATCACGCATTGCTGTGTGGATTGTGTCTGTTTGTCTCCCATCCTGTGAGCTCCCAGGAGGCAGGAACACAGAAGTCGCCCCAGGGCCTCCTTGGGCTCCTCACAGGACTGGTGTTGGCACATGTGTGTTCGTGGCTGTGTGTCTGCAAGAACGTCGATGAACAGGTGAATTAGTGGGAGTAGATGTGTGTGAGGGGGTGAGTTTGTGAGACAGAATACATGAGTGGACGGGTGGATCGATGTGTCCTTGAAAGAGTGGGTGAGCCGGTGGATGTGCAAGGGAGTTGAGCGATGCCCGGGGTCTGGGGGAAGTGAAAAGGGCCATCCTCTGGGGTCCGGAGGGTGGGAGGGAGAGGTGGGCTTCCTTGCGTCTCTAGTAATCCAGGATGCCAGTGGAGCAGCATGTCACTTTATCCAGGAGGACAAGGATACTTTCCGGGTCCATCTCTGCTATTCATAGTTGTCCTTTCTTCCTTGCCCACTACTCTGTGGAATATATCTGGTGCTGGGCCAGTGACCCCTGCTTGCGTCAGAGGAGCCCCCGTACCAAGGAGCGATGTGACTGGCTTCCTCCCCCATCCTGGACACAGAGAACATCAAGGCCATCCAAGTGAACTCCCGTGGCTTCCCCCATCCTCCCCGGCCCCTTGCTTCCCTTTCCCTAGAACCAGGGGGGGAGGTGACCTGCTTCTGGCCCTGCAGCACCTGCCCCCGAGCCTGACTCCATTCTTCAGCTTCTCAGGGGTTTCCCACCGCCCTTTCGAGCCCCCACTTCCTACAGCCTTCCCACGGGGTCCCACCAGACTGTCGTCCTTCGAGTCTAAAAAATATCGAGCCACCATCTTCCTGGTGGATTCTCCATGTCTCATTTTTGTTTGCTCTCTGACCCCACCTTTCCCCCAGAAGTGCCTCCATTACGATCGTCAGTGACCTCCATCCGATTGCCGACTCAGCATCTGGACTAGGATTTCTTATCAGCGCTTTGAACTCGGAGTGTTCAGCAGTGAACGCCTGCCCTCGACCCATGCTCGCCAGCCCAGAGGCCCTCTCCTGGCTTCTGTGACCAACACTCGCCCAGAATCTTCCCATTGTCTTACGCTCCCCGTTCCCCACCCGTACCTGGGACCTTCCGTCTCTTCCACTCTTCTTCCTGACTCTTCCCCAGCACGCCCACTTCCCCCCACGTCCGTGGTTCCTAGTCTGTCCAGGGCCCTGCTCTCTTCTTTGAGACTCCAGTATTCTTTCTCCCTGCTTCCACTTTTGCCCCCAGCACTTTCTTTTCACATTCGCAAGAGATGTCGTATCAAAACGCCAAACTCAAGTTCTTTATCAGCTTTTTCTTGGCTTTTTCTTGGCTTGAGGATAAAATCCGTAATCTTTAAACTTTGATGTTAGGCTCTAAATGATCTCGACCTCTGGCACATTTCTGGCTCTCCATGTACCATTCCTATAGATGCTCTTTTGCTTACCATGCTCCACGCAGCCCTTGCTCCACCTGTCTGGTCCAGAAGTCATTGATCTGGCTCGTGCTGCATCTTCCCTGAGACATCTCTCTAGTCCACACTGCATCCATTCCTCTACTTCAGCCCTGCATGGTCCTCTCTTGTTTTTCTCCCTGGCTGAGCTTCCTCATCCTTCATCTTTTACCTTATCCTTCTTCTGAGAAGCTTTTTCTACAACGATTAGAACTTCTTCTTACACATCCCTGCTTTTTCTCAACATTTTGGCCCCTTTTCATTTTGAAATCAATGCTCTGTGTTAATTATTTCCACGTGAGTCTCTCCTGATAGGCTAGAAGCTCCAGGAGGACAGAGATCATGTTTTATTCACAGTTCCAGCAGCTCATGGGTGCTTGATAAACATGAGCGTGTTTCTTGGACCACGTGAGCAGGGGACTGTGGATGCAAAGGTCAGAGTTGGAGGGTGGGCTCAGGGTTCGGGGAGCCCAGGGATGAGGATTGGGACGAAGGCTGAAGCCTCGAATGTGGTTCCGGGCAGTTTGGTCGTCAACAGCTGGACTGGGAGCAGGGGGAGCCATGTGGTGGGCATTGAGAATTCAGGGGACAGCCGTGCCCCCCCCACCCCCACCCCGCACCGTGCTGCCTGGAGCCATCCCTGCCCTTTCTGTGGTGACCACCCAACCTCACAGCTGTGCCTCCCATCCGTCCAGGGTGGTTGTATCGGCAGCTGGGCTATGAGAGGGGACGGAGAGACCCCGGGAAGACCTCGGGGAGGAGGTGGAGGTGTTGAGCAGGATAACGAAGAGCCCATTTCACACCCAGCCCTGCGGCTCGCGTCTACAAGGGTGGCGTGGCATGTGGTGAGGACTGTCAGAGCCTGGGTGAGCGCGCGTAGGTCGGTACGCAGAAGTTGAGGGCCTCCTTTCACACATGAGCTCCGTTCTTGGAGCTTCCCGTTCTGCCACGCAGAGCAAACCACTGCTGCTCCCTGTGATTCAGACACCGTTGACCGTGCAATGGCCAAAGCACAGTCAGCGCTGTGTGGTTTGCCTCTTCTCGGTCTTTCCGAGTTGGCGTGGCCTTCCTACGGGAGAAGCTGGTTCAGGAGGGAGGCACGTCTTCCCTATCAGAACTGCTTCCCCACATTTGAGGGGAGCTGTTTGTGTTCTCCACGTGCCTGCTTCCTAATGCCAAATGGGGCCTCAGAAACCTTAAGCCTGGAAGCGACACCAACTTCAGGGACAAGCCCTGATTCTGGGGTCAGCACCACTCCATGGTTCCTGCAGAGATGGTAGACTATGGAACGTAGGCTTTGTGATTTTTGACCTATGTAACATGGTCCACTAACTCTCAGTATCCAATCCGTCCTCGGAGGGCACCCCGGAGGTGTTGCCAACGTGAGGGAAGAGGACACGGGGTTTAGCCATGGCCCTACCCTGCAGTCACCCCCGGGGCCCGTGTCTGACGTCCGAATCTCGCAACAAGGCCTTTTAAGTGCATCCTCTGGGGGCTTTTCTGGAGGTGACGCTGCCTGGGGGAGAGACACTGCTTCCCCTCAGTCATGGTCCTTGAAGAGATGGCTTGCTTTGTGGCTTGTGCACGAGGAAAGACTGGTGGGTCGTGGGCCACCACTTCCCAGTAGCCCAGCCAGCTCTGGAGGGCTTCATGGAACCGACACCACCTTCAGGGAGTCCCAGCAGTCCAGCTTCCATCACGGTATTGGAGAGATAGTCCCCTATGTTGAAGTTTCTATGTTTGTATGAAAGTCCACCTCTGATCAACATTAAATTCCTCCTCCAAGGTTTTCTGGAGGCGATGCCAAGACTGGGGATGAGATGGAGGTTCTGACCTTAGGGAGTCTGTTTGACCAAAGTGACATCTGCCTGCTTCACCGAAGATGGCACGGTGGTTACTGCTCAGATCCCATCTGGCCTGGAACAATCTCTCGGAAATTCCCTTGGCCATCAATCTTTCTTTGTGGCATATATATAATTATTATTATTTTTTTTGATGCTCAAAACTAGGGCTCACGACCTGGGCTTCATGTGCCCGGAGACCTGGGCTTCATGTGCCTGGAGATTATTTGCTCAGGAGAACTAGACAGGTATTCCTTGTGATGGCATACACGCCGTCTTCTGTTTCTCAATTTGCTCACGACCAGCCCCTCACATGTTCCTCTCTGCCACATGCCATGCCCACCCTTCTGCCATACCCACCTACCCATTCTCTCAGATCCAACACAGTGCCTGACACCTAGTAGGCATTTGATCAATATTTTTGGAATGGTGAAACAGAACGTCGTCCACTTCCACTTGGTGGAACTTGCAGCCTTGGAGGGCTTCCTGGAGGAGTTGCCAGCTTTGGGGATAAGCCACCAGTTCCAGCATCCGCGCCAACTCCTGACAGCGGAGACAAGACTTCTAGCCTGTGTGTGCTTGTGGCATGATGTTTGTGTTGTAGTCGACCTGCCCTCTGATTCTCTCCAGCTCTGGAAGACTTTCTGGACGTGCCCCCCAGCCTCTGTCCTCGGCGTCCCTGTGTGGTACTTGGAGAGATAGTAGACCGTATAGCGTACGCTTTATCTGTGACGTATGTAACACGGTCCACTAACCCTCAGTATCAAATCCATCCTCGAGGCCCACGGAAGTGACGCCATCTTCATGGAGGCGCCCTCGGACCCAGCATCAGGCCTCTCCGAGACACGCGAAGAGATGGTTTTCTGTATGGCATGTTCTTTTCTGCATGGTGCGAAATTGCATACTCTCACTCTTCTTATATCAAGTTCTGCCTCGGGAAATCTCACCGTCTCTGGGGAGTGGATCTTGCTTCTCTTTCGGGATCAGTGCTGCTCTCTGGCATTCAATGACAATGGTTGACTTCGCAACTCTTGTTTAGTATGACACCGTGACCTGCTTCTTCTCAGCATCAAGTACAGCCATGAAGAGGTCCCCAGAGGCAACTTTGCAGATGCCAGCCTTCTTCCAGCGTCACTGCCACCGTGCGGTACTTGAAGAAATGGTTTACCGTCCCACATACATTCTGAATATGTATGTGGGACGGTAAACCGCTTCTTGGTATCCAGCCCAGCCATCCAAACTCTCCTGGAGAAAGCCTGAAGTTAAGAGAGGCGACCCTGCTCTCCGCGCCCTCCCTGCTCCACGGTACTTGGCGGAATGGTAGACTGGTAGATGTGTTCTTAATCTGTTAACGCTTGCGACGCCGTCTTCTCCTCACTGTCAAATGCAGCCTTCAAGGGCTTCCCGAGGACAATAATCACCTCTCTGGAGCTGTTTACACCGTGGCACACCCCTCGCCCATGGTTCTTGAAGTAACCGTGGCCAGCACCGAGAATGTTCACGGAGGGCTATGCCACCTTCTGCGTCCCGGCAGCCTCAAGGCTGTCCTCTGCTGACTTCAGGACCACGTGCCCATGTAGAGGCGGATACGGTGCCTGCAAGACGATGCCACATCAGGTACTTGAAGAGACACTGACTCATATTTTTCGTTGACGATGCGTGTACAGTCTATCTTTTTTCCATATCAAGCTTAGTCTTCTCGGGGAAGACGCCTCGGCTCTGGACTCAACATTGAGCCTCCACGAAGATCTGATTGGCCTCAAGTGCTTTCAGACGATGTGTGGTCCACAGGCCCATTTCTTCCCCTGTCTCCCATCCAGCCTTGTGGAACTTGCCGAAGATGCTGCCAGCCTGAGAGTCAAGTCGGAGCCCTGGTTCTGGCGCCCGCGCCGACCTTACGGTACCTGGAAAGGGTTCCACCGCACTGCATGTGTTTGATTAACAGCGTATGTAATGTGGTCTGCTTCTTTCCAGTATCGCGTTCAGCCTCGAAAGTCTCCAGGGAGGTCTTGTCCACCTCTGAGACGAGGTATCGGTTCTGGCTCCAGGACTGCTTTGAGATACTTAGAAGAAGTTGACCACGCTTCATACGTCTTACTTACAAAGCATGTGACTCAGTCCACCTTTCTGTAACAGCCGCTGCACCTTGGGGGGGCTTCCTGTAGGCAGTGCTGAGCATCAGGCATAGCGCTCGTCCCGGCGTCACCTCCACTGTGGGTCCTTGAGGGTTTCTCTGTGCCGCGTCCACTGCGCCTCTAGCAGACATTGCATAGTGGCCTCTTCTCAATACTGCATCTAGCCTCTGAGGGCTTCCGGAAGGGGATGCTAAGGAGAGGAAAGAGACGCCGGTTCTGACATCAGCCCTTCCCACGGTACCTGAAAAGATGGTTGACCATAGAACATGCGCTGTCTCTATGTCGTATGTAATGTGGTCCACGTCTTCTCAATATCAAATTCAGTCGCAGAGGGCTTCCCCGAGGCAAAGCCGACTTCGTGGGAGACGCGCTGGTCTGGCTTCAGCACCGTTTCGCTGTATGTGGAGAGATGGTCGACCATAAAACGTACGTGTGCTTTATGACGTATGTCACATGGTCCACTAATTCTCAGCATCAGTCAGCCTGAGGGGACTTCCTGGAGGCTACGCCAGCTCGGAAGCAGGTGGTAGGCACCATCCAGCACAGATCATGGGCTTTATCCCCCCCTGCCAACACTCAGCACTCAATCCCAGCCTTTCCGGGCATCCTGGAGGTGGTAGTGGCATTGGGCGTGGGTATGTGTGGTCGTGGCCACCCTTGCTGATGGCTGGTAACTCATGATGTAGATTGCCAGGGCTTCCGGGAGGTGGTCCCAGATGAAGGGAAGCGAGGCGAGGTCGGCGTCCCTTCCTGGTATTTGAAGACGCGGTTGACCATGGTGTGTACGCTTTATTTATGACGTAGGACACATGGTCTACTTCTTCTCAATATCACATCTTCGCCTTGGAAGACTTCCCGGAGGTGATCTCAGCTTTGAGGAGGAGCCACGGCCCTGGTGTCAGCAGTGCTGCTGCTTGGTACTTGGAGAGAGGTGGTCCGTGGCGCGTTCGCTTTATTTATGGCGCACATTACACGGTCGACCTCTTTGCGGTATCTAATCCCGCCTTGCAAGCTTTCCTGGAGCTAACACCAATGGCGGGTGGGCACACTCGGTCTGCGCTCGGTGCCACATGGTGGGGTTTGTTTGTGATGCATTTGTCTGTGTGTGATGATGACTGACACGCAACAGCCTTATTCTCAGCAGACCCCACTGGCCTGGCGGCTTCGAGGGCAGGGCTAACTGGCGGACGAGGAGAATGGCTTCACCACGTGCCTGGGTACATGAGATGGTTGACCAGAGAGCACACGCTTTATTTGTGCCGTTTGTGACCTGGTCCACTAACCCTCAGTATCTAATTCCCTCTTGGAGAACTTCCGGAAGAAGTGCCCACTCTGGGGGAAGGAGACTTTGCGGGGTCAGCCGGGCTCCGCTGGACTCAGAAGAGAACACCTTCGAGGCGTCGGCCACCTGCGTGCCAGATACTGCAAACTTGGACTTGTTTTCAGTAGGGGATCTTGTCTTGGAGGGCTTCCAAGATGTGAGGCCATCCAAACTCAGGGGAAGGGGCATGCTGTCTGTGCCACCCCAAAGAACTGGAGTGACCTGCTGACCGGGGCGTGTCGACTTTATTGATGACCCAGGTCATACACCTCAGTATCCAGGGAATCCTTGGGGGGAAACTTGGGGCAGGGGGACCCACCTTGGCTTGGGGTGTATGTGTCTCTATGGTAACTGAGATAAGTTTGCCCTGGGAGTGAACCAAAAACGTGACCGCTCTTCTGAGCAGTGTCTCTGTAGTCTCACCAGCCTCTGGCCATGATGCCAATTTCAGGATGTTGAGGTTGCCACCAGGCCTGCTCCACTGGGGTACTTGGATGGACAGCATGCGCACAACCAGTGGCTTAAAGCAGCACTGCGACCGTCACAGAGTCCAGTTCCGTACTCACAGGACGTCCAGGATTGAAGGTCAAGTCTGGGGAAGAATCACTGGTGTTCTGGTCAGTGTTCATCCATGGTACCTGAAGAGAGGTTTTCTGGGTTTCTGTTTCTTTAATGAGGATGAAACACACCTGGTTAACCTCTTTTCCAGTATCAAATCCCATCCTGAAGGCCTTCCGGTCCAGACCTCAGCTTCCGGGAAAGACGTTTAACTGTCAGCTCCGGCCCTGTGGACAGAAATAAGTGGTTGACCACAAAGCCTGTGCCTTGTATGTATGACTCATGTCACCTGTTCTACTAACCATCTGTGGCAATCCATATTAACAGGGCTTCTGGGATTGGCTGTCAAGTCTGAGAAGAACCAGCTCATGTCAGTGTAATTGGTGGGACTTGAGGAGAGGTTTTCTAGTTCTGTTTCTTTCATGAGGATGAAACACACCTGGTTAACCTTTTTTCCAGTATCAGATCCCACCTTGGAGGCCTTCTGGTCCAGACCACAGCCTGTGGGATGGGGTCCTGTGGTCGTGAATAATTTGGCCACAAGCCTGTTCCATATTTCTGATTTTAGCTACCTATTCCACTAACCATCTGTATCTTATCCATTCTCAGGAGTACTTCCCAAGGGAATGCCCACCTAGAGGAAGACCATGGTCCCCAAGATAGCTCCATGCCTGGAACATGCAGGTAGGTCATCTGTGGTTGCATTTATCTTGGACTTAGCCCAAAGACCCATGTTGGTGAATGCCTGTTGCATGGCCAGTATGCCCTGGAGAGTGTAGGTAGCCTGGTCCACTGCCCCTCACTGTCTGGTTTATTCCGAAAAGATGTCCTAGACATGACATCTTTGGGAAGAAATGCCAGTTCTGAGATCAAGACAAGGCCTTGGCAGTGGGGTGGGGGTGGGGTCGGTCTCTAGAATTGGTCTGGGATAGGAGCTGTTTATTTCCAGTAGGAATTCTGGAGTGCATTTACCTCTTTAGGAATGCTTGATGTTACACCAATTTAGGGAAGGGGGCTTTATCATCAACTGTGGTCCAGGAGAAATGAGCAGATAGCGGACTGCAGGCCATGTGCTTTACCTGGGACACACCTGGCTCACTTACATTGTATCTACTTCATCCTTAGGGGGCAATGCTGCCGTCAGGGAAGAAGCTGTGTGTCTGGAGGTGGCTCTTTTCCGCGGTCCTCAAGGAGAGGTTTCCTTCAGTATACTCCATCTTTTGTGACAAATTATTCAGACCAAAGGGCTTCCCCGGTGGCTCAGCTGATAATGTACCCGTCTGCCAATGCAGGAGATACAAGAGATGCAGGTTCGATCCCTGAGTCAGGAAGATCCCCTGGAGATGGAAATGGCAACCTGCTCCAGTAGTCTTACCTGGAGAATTCCATGGACAGAGGAGCCTGGCAGGCTGCAGTCCATGGGGTCGCAAAGAGTTGGACATGACTGAGCGTGCATGCATCAGGGGGCATCCACACCAACCTCTCTTCGGTATCAAATACCAGCTTGGAAGAGTTCCTGCATGAGACAGAAGTTGTTGTCAGCTCAAGTCCAGGGTGAATGAGCCCACATATCTGTTTCCCTTGCTCTGCATGGTGTATCTGACGTTGATGTTCTTTCACATCCTTTCCAGTAGGACTCCATGGAGGTGACGCCAACCTTTGGGGAAGGAAGTGGTTCTTGGTCGGCTCTAAAGCCGGGGCACAGAGGTAGGTTGTCTGCACTGTGTTTGTTTCGATGGCAGTAGGCCATGTCTCGGTTCTGGGCTTTTTCATGGCAGTTGGGGAAGGGGCATGGGTTCTTGAGAAGGCCCAGGTCTTTGCACTTCTTCCCCACTTGGTTTGATGAGTGTCAGAACGGTTGTGGTGGTAGCCATGAACAGTGCTGAGGAAAGTGAAAGTGTTAGTCGCTCAGTTGTGCCTGACTCTTTGTGACCCCATAGACTGTAGCCCGCCAGGCTTCTCTGTCCGTGGGATTCTGCAGGCAAGGATCCTGGAGCAGGTTGCCGTTTCCTTATGCAGGGGAGTCTTCCCAATCCGGGTCTCCTAGGTCTCCCTTATTGCAAGCAGGTTCTTTACCATCTGAGCCACCAGGAAATCCTGCCAGTCTTTAATGTCCTGTTAGCTGATGCCCAGACATCATGCCTTCCACCAGAAAAGAGCCACGAGGGGACAAAGAGAGAAAGGTGAGGAAGTGGGGTCGTGGGGGGAGCGGATCGCCTCTGTTGTGTCCAGGCAGTGGCTGCTGTGTTCTTGTACTCTGATGGCTCACCAGGGATCAGAGCCAGATTGTGAGGGTGGAGGTGGGCAGCCTGGGTGGTAACCCTCTTTGATCTCTGTTCTAAAGGCCAGCTACGGAGACAGGGGAGGGCACCATTATACCACTTGACAAGAGAAAGCCTGGACTTCTTTTTCTGTGACTTTTGACTCCTAGCTCTCCAGGCCTGTTTTGGGGTCGGCCTGCCTTCCTAGTGAAGTGAAAGTCTGCAGAGATCAATATTCCCCCAACAAAGAATTATGGTCAAAGAGGTTTTGCAGTAAAACAGAAAAGCCAACCCAGATGTGGCATAAATATGTGGCCAGCTGACTTCCAGAAATGAAAGTTGTTTTTCTTCCTTAATTCTGCTGATTTAAATGGAAGGCAGTGTAAGGTAGTTAAGTAGTGCTTCATGTGGAAGATAGAGGCCTGGCTCTATCCCCAGCTGTCCCTCCTCAGCCTTGGCGCTCACTTTCCTTAGGACTAACTTGATATTATCCATCTGTTTTTAGAACCACAGCTTACCTGGAATATTACCTGGACCCATAGCCGATTCCATGCAGGGGCCTGGGTGTCTGTTCATTGCAGACCAGAGCTCTGGCCTCTTGACCACGAAATGCAGGATTTATCTGTGAATTTGCTCCTGATGCATTGACCTTGGGACGCAAACCATTGCCTGGACACTTCCTGAGGCCTGATATATCAATACTTCCAGAAGGAGATTACAGTTTCCCCATCAAGAAAAGGTCCAATTCCTGGAAAGCAGTTGTAACTAAATGTTCTCTGTACTGGTGGGAAATATTTCACAAGTGACCTCTTTCCAGTGTTAAGTCTTAAAGGGTTTCTTGGCTGCCCCCCGGAAGCAACCCCAAGACACTCGATTCAGACTTTTCGGTTGTACACAACACATGTCAGCTGGTCCGTCCAGGGCCACACAGACTCAGGAAAACTCCAGCATCAGCGGAAGACTTCACGATGTTTTGTTTTTTTTTGGTGTGTGTTTTTGACCAGGGCTAATCTTCGATACTTGAAGGAGAGGTTATCCGTGTTGTCTTCTCTTTATTTATGATGAAACATACACGGGAAACCTCTTTTTTAGTATCAAATCCCACCCTGGAGGCACGTCCTGTTCCCGATGCAGCCTTCAGGGAAGGGACGTGGCCAGCTGCACTCTGGATAGCCAAGAGGAAGGCGGAATGTCATGTGTCGTAGGGCAGGGGTGGAGGGTGGCCTTCAGGATCCAGCCCTCCAAGGGACAGCTCCTTGGAAGGGAAGCCACGTTTGGAGAAGGGCCGGGCTTGCTGTGTTGGA